GGTACCGCCCCCAAGGGCAATGAAAGACTCGGGAGATTTTATGGGGGACTGGGACAACCACAGGGGGACGTTGGAATTATTTTGGGAAAAGGTTATACATTTTAAACTACATATTTTAAACAAGTTGCAGTATCTTCTTTTGATTGTTGGCATTATGTAAATTCAAGTACGGTCATATAATTTTTTCCCTCACAGGCAATTGATAGAGAAAAGAACTTTATCTTAATTTCTACAAATAGCAGTACCAGAGGGGATTAACAATACGTTTATACATTGCTAGGCGATGTGAGCTGACAACACGATGTTGGATATTTTGTTTCGTTGGATATTAATAATAGTATTTTAGTCCAATATTATCTGTTTAGTTGGATGTTTTCTGTTTTGTTGGATATTATCTGTAGTTTTGCATTCTTCTTATCAAAATACTCATGGCTTTTATGCATCATACGAAATAACACCATATTGTTGATTTCTAAATCTGAAAAGTCCCCAAAGAATGGGTGAAGAATTTACCCTACTGGCAATAAGAGAGAGACTGACTTCATAAACATAGCTAAGTTGTGGCAATATTTATACCTCCAATGAACATGTTGGAAAATTGGCCACAAATATGCAGCAATTGAGTTGATACTTCTCTAGGTCATTCCCAACTGCTGATTCATGAACCAAAGCTGGCATTTCAGAGTAATTTGTTTCTAAAGGAGGCATTTCCTGGTGTGAAATATAATCAACATTCATATTATGTGTTGAAAAAAACAACAACTAAAGATGACAAAAATACATGTTTATTGCAAAACATAATTGTCATTCCATTCATTTTATAAATTAACCAGCTAAATGATTTAAATAAATACATACCATAGTTATAGCTTGTCTAAATTACCTGGCATTTCCTGATTGTAACTTTTTATATATGTTGTCATAAGTAAGCCAAACATAATCACAAAATTTAAATATTATTTTAAATTTTAAGGTAATTCAACAGCAATTATCAAAATATTGGAAAATATTACTGATGTGTCTGTCATTGTTTGACAATACAATGCTCATATTAATCTTAAACTGATTAACATTGCAAAGTTCATATTGAACTGATTAACACTGCACAATAAACACTTCAAATCTTAGATCATTACTTATAATAAGCAAGAAAATTAGAGCACACATAAATTCTAAATGATTGTACCAGCATAAAGAATCTATATTTTTAATTGTCATGTTTTAAATAACCCTAAAATCCCCCCACCAGGTGTCTAAATCACTAATCTTCTTTCATTAATGTAAGATGTATTTAACGTGCCGATTTAGTAAAAAGCTGAAGATATCTTAATAAGGTTCAGATAATTTTGTAAAATTCAGCGAGTTAAATGTTATGTTCAATTTCAAGTTTTCACTAAAGAAATTTACAAAGCATTCTCTTAATCAGTTAGTTAGGAACTTCTCACTGCCATTGTCTAAATTCAATAATTCTAATATCTTCCAGCTGGATAGAATGATAATTTAAAAATTGAAGTAAAATTTTGGTTGTTTAAAAAATCCTCACTTCCACCCTCTTAATAAAAATGTATATAAAATGCTCTAAGTAATGAAAACAATCTCAAACTAAAATGTGCTGGCCAACCATACTTTAGAAAATGTATTTAAAATATATGAACGCCAGAGAACTTCATTTTAATTGTTAGAGTGCTAATGCTATTCCCTGCATCCATCCTTTTGATGTGCACATGCACCAGTGACTTATGAGAGTTAATAAAAGTCCAACTACAAAGGTGGTGGTGGCATAGAAAGTCATTGACAAATTAAGCTCTTCACATTCAGACTGTGGTGCAGTGGTCACTTTGGACATTCCAATAATAGGATATTGAGGCTGACCTCAACTATTTGTCAAATAGGCTGAAATTAGCCAAAGAAGGGCACCTATTCTAATGGAGAAGGTAAACCTTGAATAACAAAAATCTCAACCATAGAGGTCAGCAGCAAAACTGGGGTGGAAATAAAAATCAGTTGTTGAGTCAAAATAACACAGTCTTAAATACCAGTAAGAGTTACAGCTCCCTGAATAAATTTGGATCATAAAAAGGAGGACTCACAGGAGATGATATTGATTTCTTGGTTTCATTAGGTAAGTGACCTTGGCTTGCGCTGACTTCTCCTGAAAGAAAACAATTGTAACTCTATAACATTCTTGATTCTACTTTTGCTTGCGATTTATTTAGAATTTTTTTTTTTTTAAGTTTAGCTGAGGCATTAAACGATTAATAATTATCAGCAGAGGAACATATTTTTAAAAAACTGTAATTGACCAAATTTACTTTTCTTTAAATACACACTAAATTTTAGAATAACACACAAATTTAAGGAAAAGTCAATTTTCAAATTTAAAATTTAGAAATTGAAGGTTTGTTAGGAACCATCCCTATATTATGTATGCAAAAATTTCATATTTTAACAAATCCCCCCTGTTGCACACATACATTTTTTGACAACCCACTCAGCATACATACCAATTTCGCTTTTGACCCTCTTTTAAAAAAAAACCCCACAAAATTATATTTTATACTGTAGAAACTGTTTTTTTCCGTATCCCCATTGGTTCCCAAAATGTTAGTCACCCTGCGGAGTGACAGCTTCCTCACAGAGGACCCATGAAATAATACACAATTTTCATATCAACTTTTAATTCAATATGACACTCAACGGGCCTTGTGTAAAACATTAACTCACTTGAGTAATTAGACTTAGCGACCTACATGTGTTTTATTTATGTTTTACCAACCGTACGATTAATAAAATTGTACCATATATTTTGATGAAACATGTCGACCATAACTTTTTGATTGAAAAAATCCCTACAATGCCATATCCATGAGTAATTTGATCTGTTCATCTTGTTACATAATAATACAATATGTATTCACAAAATAAATATTTCTTATAAGAAATTTGTCAAAATCCTTATACTTATAATTATTTCAATCCGTAACATGCTCTAACATTTTATTGTGGGTTAATTTTTAAATGTTTAATAAGATAGGGATTAAAAAATATTAAGATTTTATATGAACTCAATTTAGTATAGGTTGACATGGAAAACAAATCCAAAGTAAAACAATTTCTGTAAAAATTTAATCAGGTGGCTACCCCTTTTAATTATTTTAAGATTCTTTTATTGATCCAAATAAATGGAAATGTTTTTTGATTGCATTATACATTTTCAGCACAAAAATAAAACAATTTGAACACAAGACATTTATAGTAAATTATTTCAAACAGCCATTCAGTGAGTTCTCTTAGCAAAATTGGGGACTTATTAGTTCTCATTCAGATGTGTGACTTCAGAGGAAGCACGCCGGTAAATTCGTACAGATTGGGGAACAAAAGAATTTTTATATCGGTCAGACCTCGCCCTGATGGAAAGAATTCGTCCCGAACGGCCCGATCCTAAATATCTAGGATGAAGAGGGTGGGATGTATCATCCAAAATGTGTTTAGTTTTGCAAAAACATCTTTCTTCAAATAGTTCTTCAAGTGAAGGATGTTTAGTTTGTGTTATGTTTCTAGCTTTCTTGATTAGTCGGTTTATGCGGTGTTTAATATCAGACGTTGAATTTCCACACCAGCAGGTGATACTGAAATTAAGCAGGCTTCCAATAGTTGCACTGTAGAATAAGTTAACGCCTTGGTTGTTTATGCCAAAATTGTACAGTTTTTTGAGGTAGAACAGTCTTTGGCTGAATTTCTTATACAAGATTTGGCCGTGCTCATGCCTTGTTAGCTTATTATTAATGGTGACACCTAAGTACTTGTATGCCTCCACTTTCTCCATATTTTGATTTTTTATTCTCCCATTCAAGATAATTTTAATGATATAAAAATCATACCTGTCTCCACATATTTACGGTTCACTCTCTGATATTGTGCTTTTAAAAACTTGGTCTTTTGTTTTTTTCCGTCTAAGTCATTAATAGCCGTCCTTGCTATTGCTTCATCCTTCATTTCCACAAAAGCAAACCTAATTAAGAAGTATATAAAAGAATTGATTTTCCATTTAGTTGAGAGTAGTGAAATGGTTTGTATGGTGGTCACTGTTTAAATAACAACAACATGTCATCAACTATTTACTCATTGTCATGCTTAAAAAATATACTAAACAAAAAAGAAAGAAACTCCATTTATCAGACCCTTGAACTTACATTTTTAACTCATTTCCTTTGATGACCACTGATTTTGGCTCATAAGTTTCGATCAGTTCATTGAAGTCTTCCTGTAGATTATGAGATGTTTAAGTGGTTTTTTTCATGAAATAACAAAACATTTCTTAGATCTAATAAAAATAATGTAGATCTAGTTTATGATGAGTTTTATTAAATTTTTTCAGAAATTGGTCTTTTGACATTTTTAAACAATTTTAATTTATCTATCAACAGGGTTTTTGACTCGGTAGAACAATTTTACAAAGTACTTGAAATCCTTACAGGTTTGACTTATTTAAAGAATTTTCAAGAAGAACAAGAATAATTCATGGCAGGGATGATTGAAGTGTAACACACAATTTTGACTCACCTTAGATTCGATGTTGGATACAAATATTGAAAGCCTGGATATTGCTTGATCTGAGATTTAAAATTTTTTTTGGGATGAATATGAATTGTCTTTCCATATCCACTGATAAAATTTTATAGATCATGGGTGTTAATTAACCTTTTGTCATATTTTAAATTTCTGTTTAAATTTTTTAAATAATGAAATTATATATTGAATTTAATTAATATTAACATGAATATTGTGTCATAACACAGCACTAGCAATACTTTTTACCTGAATCTTTTTCTCGACTAGCATTCTTGTGCCGAAGTAATTCATCCTTTGTGTTGTTAAACAGCTTTTTGCCACCTCGAAACCTGTCAGAGTTAATATTCTGGAAATCTTGATTGACATCTTTCCTCGGGCCAGGTGACAGACCATTATTACTGACAGGAACTTTGGAATTTGCAACTTTTCTTTCTAGCCCTGAGCTATTCAGCTTTTCTTTCTTCTGATTATATTTATCTGGCTTCCCTTGATCCTTTTTGCGTAAATTTTCAGGTTCATTCAACACATCCGTGACGGACTCATCAGTATTAATTAATCCATTTGTTTTTACTGGTGTATCTTGTGACTTCCTTATTTTTTCCAATTCTTTTTTTGAACTTCTTGCTACTCTAAGATTATAATCTTTTCCAAACAATATCAGTGCTTTAACAATATCATCCTTGGAGGGATATCTGATGAACACCCAACTGAAATTATACAAATACATATATTTGTTAAACAAGTGATGAACTTATGTTCAATCAGGATTCATTCCTATAAACAGGACTTTCACTAACACTAAATCAGTGCTTTCTAAACGACACACGTTTTAGAAATACATCCCTTCCCGACATAGAAAGTTGGTTTTACCAGTATACAGGGGGGTTAAACTGACCCATTTTAGGATATAGGCGCAAACATACACTGTAATAACGCAATGTATGATGACACAACATATCTCATGAAAACCGTTCATGTATATTTTGCACGAAAATCCAATAGCTAATCATAATATTTTATTTTTACAAATTCCAATCATTTGGTTTATCTCAGCATTTTCTTCTTATTATTATTAAATGAAAAGTTCATCGTTCAGTTGAAAGAAATGGCTTCATCATCCAATCATAGCCTTGGATTTTAGCCTTTGGGAAGTGAGGATACAATTTCTCTTGCCCCACAATTAGCAAAATATGAACACATTTTTAGCTCACAATTTCACTTTTCATTCCAAATCACCATCTTGTCTCCCAATCTCATAGCAAAAATTTGATATACCGTTTTTATTTTCACCTTTTCTTTGCAAGGTGGTGTTTATTTTATTTGAATATTCAAATATCTAAGCATGATAAAGATATGATGATTTTGTTCACAAAACTGTTTTTAATAATGTTGCTTCTTTTTTAAAAAAAAATATAACTATCATTTCCCTCAGTTCCTTTGCATGACAAGCACCTGACTTCATCAGAGCCAAGGTATTTCTGGGTGAATTATCAGCTTTTTTAGATATTGACCCCAGTTCTTCACAAATACTACCAAATTATTATGATTGAAGAGGTCTACTTGTAATATAATTTACCATTTGTACATGTGCACAACATTTCTTAATGTATTTCAATACTTGAATCTCGTTATGGCTTTTTTTTATGACACATCTAAATCCTGCAGCCAACACACTGCTGTGTCACAACACACAGTTTTGAAAGCACTGCCCTAGCTACTCTTTATAAAATCTGTTGATTCATAAACCCACCCACCTAGTTTTGGATGGAAAAAGTCTGAAAGTGTTGAAAATATTATTTATCCTTGTTGGCACAATATGAATGTTTTGATTTTAGATGGTGAACAAGTTTTCTTGGTACCATCACTTAATTACCCTCAGGTTCTGGGGCTTATTCCCCACGAACCATGAAAATCCATCATTAAATGTATTCATCTTTGTACTGCGTTTTCACGGTCTTCATTTTGTTAAACAACCGCTTGTATCTAGTGTTTGAAGTGGTAAATTTATAATTAATTTCAAAAACTTTGCATAGATATTGATTTAACACAAAGAAGACTTTCCATTTAAAGACACAATTAAAAAAATCTTTTAACACAAGTAAAAACGACTAATAACTTACTTATGACATTCTTGTGTAAAGTGACCATATTAATTTCAATTCAAAAACAAACCAAGACATACAAAAATATTTTTTTAAAAAGTAATATATTTTTAAATATGCTGCACGATGACTGTGTCAAAAAATCAGATGAAAGATCTTCCATATCTCAGTCTGGGATTTAGTTTGTGTTGGATTTGTTTTCCTTTATTGTGATGAAATTTTACCTTGGAAGTGTCATTTTTTAAAACAAGCAACAATCAACAACTAGTCAAAGTATTCTTCAGTACAGGTGTGAAAAGTAGAAAAGCGTATGATCAAAGGCCCAAGCAAGCAACAGAGAAATATTTTACTCATGGCTTCAGAGACATTGAGATGGTGACTTTTCATGTGACCCACTAAATTTAAATAATGCAGATGTGCTGTGCTATATGACTTCAAATGTTGACAGCTTGTTAATTAGATAAACATTGTCCCGTTTGTTTCAACAAATTTATAACCTCTTTGTAAGTTTTTAATCCTCTTCGGAGGAATTTTTCAGCAGCACACTTAACATCATCTCACACCAAACCAGTAAGAAGTAAAAGTGTCGGCTACGAGCGGCAAATCAATAAAGATCCTTAGTTAAGTCATTTATTTTCATAATAAAACATTGCCTCATACAATTTATACACTTGATATATTAAAAAACCTATGACATTTTGTAACAATTCAATTTTTTCCACTGTGTTATATTAAATGTGTTTCTAACAGATAGAGAGACTGTCATGAATCGTTTATCAATGTAAAATAGTGCTTGGTGCTGTCGTCAAGGGTATGATTTCAACAGTTCACAATTAATAAAAACACTAGACTCAACGTGCCTTCAATATTAATCAATACACTTTATTATAATAACACAATTAGCACACGCTCATCATAGCTATCAATAACCCATCCAATTAGTGTAAGTCTTAGCCAAAAGACCTCGTACTAAAGGGATCACTGTCCAACACTGTCTTTCCTTTCACTCCCCGAGTCGTTCACCCATGCTACCAAACGCGCGTACCTTTTGTGCCCATGAGTTCCTACGCCAGCCACTCTTTCTCATTTACGCCTGGACTACTTTCATAAATTAGTTATGGTAACTCAAGTCATGAGGGATGCTCACCTCGTCAGAGACCACCGATTAAATTATATATAAAATTGCAAATTGAATTGTTTTCACTTACTTATCAGTTATATTACATCTTTGTACAGAACCTGCTTGGTTAAAAATTGCCATGAGTTCCTGGGGGGATAAAGAAATAAATGCATAGTGTATTTTTCAACCTTTCCCAAGCTGGGACACTCAATACGTTTTATAAATGTTAGTATGATTAACTCCCAATGTAAACTAAATAGAACTTATTCCAAATCGCCCTACCATCTATAGTCCTACCAAATTAGCATCATGCTATTCCTGTAATATTGAACGTGGTCCGACAATCACAGAAATCTTTATATTTCCTCTTTTTATTAAAATGTCTAATAGAAGCAAAAATTGCATTTTTTCACCAGATACAAGTTTGAAAATAATGGACACTCCTTTTATGTTTGATCTTGGAGCTGTAACAGTAATTATTGCAGACCTTTCAGTTGCAGCTTACATACCTACCACACAATTTGAAAGTATTTTTTTTAATTTGAGAAATATATGTGGTAATTTTGGGAGAAACGTAAAGAAATTTGTGTTTATTTTGTAGTACAGTGAAACATATAAATAACGCAAACCCTTGCGACCGACGAAACAGTGGTGCTATTTGCAGGGTCAGCAAGAATGATGAAAATATAGAAAAAATAGGTTGACCATAAAAAAAATATTAAAGAGTCTGCAAAAGTGAGGGGGGTTGGAGGGTTTTGTTCAAATGCTGACAACTGCAGTATTTGCATTTGATAGGATTTGGGCCATTTCAAGGGTTTTAGCCAAGAAATCAATCTGTAGGGGATGGGTTAAATAAAGTAAGTATTTTAAAAAGAAAACATTTTTCTATATCTGATATGCAATTAGCAATTTAATTTTACTTGCACTGCACTTGAACTTGCAATGTTTTTAATAATTTATGTTGGTATTTCATTCAAAAAGAAATCTTGCCTTGGTAGAATGATTTCAGATGTACCCAGCCCAATAAGCATGTTTAGATTTTGCAATCACTGATGACAATTACAGTAAGAGAATAATAAAACTAGCAATCTTACCATTTTATTGAGCGTGGGACAAAATTCTGTGGGCATACACACTGAGAATTGGCCATTACTGTCTGGTTCTAGGTCCTTGATGTCCATGACTTTTGAAGAAAATAACATGGACAAGTTAAGTCCCATCATGCACTCATAACTTGATAAATAGTTGATTTTTTTCATCAATTTAAATAGATAAAAAAACATGACAATAATGTCAGTCACACTCAGAAATATTTAGAATTGTTTTGATTTTTTTTTTAAAAATGTAATTAAAATTACATCATGAATATAAAATATTTATTTCAGGAATCTCAACAAAAAAAATGTGGTTTTATTGTTTATTTTACATTTTTAGCAGATATTATCCAGATATTTGTAAAAGAATCGTATTCATAAAAAAGAAACACTAACTCTAATCAACAATTTATGCTTCATTACTTTTCAACTATTTGAGCTGGTTACTGTTAGACCTTGTTAATAAATGAATTTATTTTCAAAATCTAGTAAATAAAATTAAGTTAAAAGCTTTCCATTAAAAAACCCTCCACAAAAAATTTTAAGGATAGGAATAGGAACCAATATTAACAGGGAGAGAGAGAGGGAGAGAGAGAGAGGGAGAAAAAGAGATAATGAATCACCAATTTGTGACAGGGTGTGTGTGTGTATACATTTAACAAAATAGAGTGACATTTATGGATGGCCCTCTAGTTAATGGTTTAATTCATTTTATATTTTATTATATATATAATCAATGTAGACGTCGAACTCATTGCTTAGAAATAGAATTTTTTAAAATATTAAATCGGTAACAAGCTACCTTTTATAATAACTACACGGCTTTACGAGTCTGTGATCGACATCCTCCTTTTTCAACACCCGTTCTAAATATTATTTGTACTTTCACAATGATTCACATCATCGTTTTTATAAGAATTAGCTATTCCCCAAAGTGACACCATTGTGCTTAGGACGGGGTCAGACAACTCTTGACAAAACCCATGCCACTAACTAAGCTTTTACCATAATATCATGGTATGCATAGTATAGTATAGTATGTATAGTATAATTTGAGCCATAATGATAATCAGATAATCTATCACTTCTTTCATTGCTGTCCGTTACTCTACAGTGGAGAGAGGGCCACTGGTCACTGGGTTTTCAGTGGCATTGAAAGTGAGAGTGGGCGCTATTTTCTCATTGATGTGCTAGATCAGCATGCGATCACATTACAGGAGTGCAAGGAGAGAGATCATTGGACGCATGGATTGCTTATGCAAACATAAACCAGATCAGACACAGAATTATGTAGTCTCTGTACTGGCTCGGTTCTTCAACAAAATCTTACAAATGATGCTGGTGTCCACACACAGAATACTGAAAATATATGGATGAACACAAAGCACAAACTGAAATTACAGTTTGACACAAGCTGCGACTTTTCCCTTCTTAACTGCACAAGTTCATGTCCCGCTATCATTTTCGTGTAGATCTTTCGTTTCATGTATTAAATTTTAAAATTTTTCTAATTTTAAATTATTAAATTAAATTGGTTAAATTATTCTATTTTTAAAATTGTGTCTTTTATGTATGAGCTAAAAATTTACTTCGAAAATTTAAATAACTGTAGAAGTACAAAATACAATGTCATATGTCATTATTGTCATGACATAAAGGACATTCCCATTTATTTTATTTGGACCTTTTGGAAGAGAAATTTATCTTATTCCTAATCCTATCAATAAAAGAATAACTAATAACCCTTGCTCTTAAAGTCTTAAAATTTTAAATAGGGCATTAGGGCCTACCAACCTACCACTTCAAATTTCAAATGGGAACAACACCAATAAATGAAATGATTTTTTAATAACCAATGTCAATGCTCAATTGGTAAATAAGCCATCATCTACTTAGTACTAGTACTACTTTGCCTGTCTACTACTACTAGGACTAGACTACTCATAAATAACATAATTAATAACTTTAGCAGTTTAGACTTTAGATTATTTATTTTTTATGCCCTTATTGTTATATGCTAATGAAAAGTTTTTTTTAAAAGCATGCCAGTATTATCTTATTAATGCATTATTGTTATAATGGTAAGTCCGTAAGTCATTAAGGCCCGTTAAACTAGCCATTTCTTTCTTGAGATACTGAGACTGAGATAGTAACCATTGGTTGGGCTAGTCCAGGAAAGGCTTACTTGAAAAAAAATAAAGTAAAAAATGATATTTATTTAGTAGTTTACAGCACTCTGAAACTTAACTGATATAAATGAATGCGAAGACAGAAGGATGGCATATATAATTGATTAGATTTTGAAGAGCTTAACATTTCAACCAACCAATAATGAATGCTAAAAACACAGAATGATTGTTGCAATAATGCAATAGTCTCGGTAGTTGATTTTCAAGTAAGTTAAACGCCGCTCACACAGACGATCTACAAAAACGATGGTTAGAAAATAACAAGCCAGAAAAGATTTATGTAACAAAATTTAATTTCTGTATTTATTTTTAATATTCAAGTAGGCTACATACAAATATATCCAAGATGTTCAGCAAGAATTAAAGTTTAAATGATAAAGTGCAATCTTTAAATAATATTCTAAGAGTTATTCTAAGAGTTATAAATTTGTAATACCCCGGTACAAATATTTTGTTTTTGTTTTTGAGGCACTGAAATGAGTAGAAACCTGACAATACTTACAGGATCCTGGGCGACACAATTACGATACACCAAGTTGATTTCTATGTCTTCTATACTAGTTACGATACTCCAATACACACTTCATAATATTTCATCTAATGTAGACCTTATTTTTAAATGGTTATTATAAATGACTTGAACAATCACAGGGCCGTGCATGGGGGTGGGGGGGGGGGATGGAATGCCTGCTTCGGGTGGCGCGAAAAAAGTAAATTATCCTTTATATCTATCTCTATACATACAGACGAGAGGGACTCCGCCTGATTTTCTTATATAAAGTGATCATGGGACTGGTGCCGGCCATCCCAGCAGGCACGTACCTCACCCCACAGAAGCCGGGTAGAATAATCAGAGCAAAACGCTCACTGAACACTGACTTCACCACTGACATTTCCATAAACAATTACACCAGAAACAATAGCAAATGCTTCAAAGTGCCTCAGTGCAACACAGTGCAGCATCAACAATCTTTCTTCCCACGCACAATAATAGCATGGAACCACCTGAACGATGCCACTGTGAACTCGACATCGGTCGAAAGCTTCAAGGCTGCCCTGGCATCAGCTAGGAGCTGTTAGAATAGCAACATCATATCCTCAACCGTTGTAAAGATGCCAGTAAATGGATGCAGCAACGAAACATTACCAGAACGAGAACCAGAATATACATAATACAGGGTGGGCCAATAAAAGTGAGAACATCTCGTAAAATGTGATTTAATCACATCAAATTTAGCTTAACTATACCCATATACTACAGTGGCGTCGACGCTTGGAAAAAATCGTTGAGAAGCAAAGAGAAAACATTGAACATGATTTCTGATTAGCTAAATTTTAATATTTTGCACACAAAAATTCCATGAAGAATTATAATTAATTAAATTATATTTTGAAATAAATAATATGCTATATATATACTGGGTGGACCAGAAAAAGTGAGAACATCTCGTAACAAAGGGTTATATAATTGATTTAATATGTTTTTGCCATTTACAGTTGTATGAAAATTATTACGCTAATAAAAAAAAACCATAATTCTATCTATCTATCTCCCTTCTCCCCCCCCCCACCTGCTTCTCAAAGACTTATTGTAAGCGTTGGCGGCTTTTTTAGCGGCTTTTTTAGCGGCTTTTTTAGCGGCTTTTTTAGCGGCTTTTTTATGCTTCTGACAAAAAGCGATGTTATCACATTTGTTGGGCCACGCTGTCCTATATCCGCTGCCTGCAAAGAGTTTGGCCTGACAATTAGCCTAAAGAAAACTAACATTATGGCACAGCGCGCTGACTCCCTCCCCACTATCGCCATCGACAACTACGACTTGGATACTGTTGACAGATTCACATATCTGGGATCCAACATATCGAGCACCCTCTCAATGGAGGATGAGATAAGTGGAAGGATTGGGAAGGCCGCAACTGTTATGGCCAGACTGAAGAAAAGAGTCTGGTCAAACGCCAAACTCACAACAAGAACTAAGCTGCAGGTGTACCAGACCTGCGTACTGAGCACACTCCTGTATGGATGCGAGTCGTGGACCACATACTCTAACAACGAAAGAAGGCTCAATGGCTTCCACCTGAGATGCCTGCGCCACATCCTTGACATTAAATGACAAGACAAAATCCCCAACACGGATGTCCTGTCCCAAACAAACTTGTGTAGCGTCCCAGCCATGTTAATCCAAAGACGCCTCCGCGGGCTTGGACATGTCAAGCGAATGCAACCTGGTCGCATACCAAAGGACGTGCTATACAGCGAGCTGGCAACAGGGAAAAGGTCAGTTGGACGGCCTCGTCTGAGGTACTTAGACATATGCAAAAGAGACATGAAGTCGACCAACATCGACATCTCAAACTGGGAGGAGCTGGCAGAGTATCGATCCTCGTGGCGGGACATCGTGAAGGCAGGATCACTACATGCCGAGGAGCAAAAACAGGGCGGAAACAGCTGCAAAAAGAGCGAGGAGGAAGGCCGGTAAATACTGCTCCACCGCATTCGTGTGTGGGAAATGTAACAGAGACTGCCATTCGAGGATTGGTCTCACCAGCCACACCAAGAGCTGCAAGCAATAAAGATAATCTATCGTCTCCCGCAGACGGAAAGATGCCATATAATACAATACATGAAAAAAAAGAACACAGGTGGGTAAAAGAAGAAAACACAACTAGCAGCCATGTATTTTTAAATATAGCCCACAAACGCCACAACTGCCTGACCAAAAAATTCACATAGACGAGTCTTGGGTCTTGGTGCTGTACATTGAACAAATCAAGTCCAGTTAAAAAAGAATCTATTCGACATGATAGGTTAAAAGAGGTTTTTGACTCAGAATAGTATGTTGTTATTTTTTAATAGATCCGTGTAGATTGTTATTTTCTCAATCCTAACAATTAATGACTTTTCCCAATAACAATTGACATTTTCAAATAAACAGTTTTTGAGGGAGTTTTTTGTTGAGAGAAAAAAAGATGGGTGACGTCACTTAAATATGTTATAATGGGGAAAGAAAATACAAGTGAATATATTTTAAATTAAAACAAAAACACCAACAACAATACTACCACCAAAAACATAAGCACCAGCAACAACAGTAACAGCAGCAAAAAAAAAAAAAACAAACAACAACAACAACAACAACAACACCGAGGTGAAATGTCCCAACACTCAGGTAACCAATGGTAGGAAATTCAGATTTATGTGTGATGAAAGTGATGAGAATTGAAAATATATATATATTATTATAAAATTTAATTAACTCTTTCACGCCCCCTATGTATGTATGGCTATAACACTATGTCCCATAGGCCACACAATAAAATTCCCAGAAGTTAGCACAAATTAATGCGTTTTTATAAATTATGTTACCGGTACTTGCTGTCATATTTGTCAAATAACTTTAGTAGATTGGAAGTTCACGTATTGCCACCCCCATTTTTCAGCGTGTTATTTGAAACAATCTTAAGTCCTAGAAAGGGTTTCCCAACTTTTTCTATATTCTGCACCCTTACTTGCTAATTGTTTTTACTTTGTCGCACCACTAAAAGGGGGGGGGGTACCATATTCAGAAGGCACAAAATCGTCATTTTGCTGGCACAGTGTGCGTATTGGTTTATACTTATTTTGGAAAAGGGTGCCGAAATTCAGGCTTTGCCCCAGGGGCAGCTTTTGCTTGCTTGTTTTAAGTAAAAGTTTTTTTACCGTGCTCTATTACTTGTCATACTTCTTTTTGTCTTGTTTGCTGATGAAGGCTCTAAGCCAAAATGTCCCAATCTTTTGTCCTGTCTTATGAATTAGAGTTGAGCAAACCTTGTTCCTATAGTTCTTTTAACGTCACACCCGCTTTTACACAGCAGATTGATTTCACCAACCATTTCAGAAAAAAACAAAACAAAATATTACGCACCAAACGCACTTGTGATATTTGTAAGAATCCAGCTTAGCGCATTTATCGGAAATTTTATTTCGTGAAATCAATGTCATCATATTTCTTTCATCTTTCCCTTGAAAAACAGGAAGTTTTGGGGGATAGAGCTGAAAATTTTAAAGAAACTGTTGTCATCGACAATGTGCCAATTTAGAGCTTGATAAGATGACGGGAAGTGGGTCACTTAGCCATCCGAACATTTTTGCCAGCCAGCCACGAACAAAAGCTAAATGAATTTTGTCATCAAATTAAAAAAAAATAAAAATAAATGCGCACACAATTTTTTTATCTGCCTGAAATATTTGAATATTCAAATAAAATAAATACCAGCATACAAAGAAAAGGAGAAAATAACAGTGGTATAATAATCACATTTTTGCTATGGGGTTGGGAGACAAGATGGTGATTTGGAATGGAAAGTGAAAGTGTGAAAGCAAAAATGTGTTAATATTTCCCAAAATTGTGGACCAAGATAAAGTTTATCCTCACGTCCATGCCTCGAATAGAAGAGTTGAACCAAAATTTGTGCAGCTTGTTATAAAAAGTAATATCAAATTTTGCATTAAATTATGGTTTTTATATGAATAAACAGATTATTTCTTCATATATTATTTATTGTTAGCATTTTATAATTTAAATAGAGTGTGACAAATTTTACTGTTCATTGGCAAAACTGTAACTTTTTTTTAGAAGTTTTCCTAACTCTGCTGTGAAGAGTTCACTGCTCGTAATCGAATATGTTTAACATTAAGTATTGATATTCGCAATTGTCCCGTCTCAAAATGACCCCGCGAAAGCAGGAAATCGAAAGTAGACCATCAATGTTAATTGTTGACACACTGAACAAGTAATTTTTAAACAAGTAGGCCTAACTAAACTACATAAACCTTTAACCTAAAACCCATATCATTGATCGGAGATTATTTTGTCGACTTTTTCTATATTTGTTTATGTTTAATTTTAGGCTGGCACTACGTACACCGCGGCGGTGTACCTAGCGAAACTATTGACTTTGGCCTCCGTACACCGCGGTGGTGTACCTAGCTAAATCATGGTCTGTGGCCTGCGTACACCGCAGCGATTTAAAGTAGCAAAACCATGGTCTTTGCGAGTCTTTAACTTTTTGGCCTAATTGGTACTTATAGATTTAATGTTATGCTCTTGTTAAGACTGGAAACTATTTATTTAAAATCATTGAGTACCTTGGGAGGAAGCTTTTGAGTAAGTTCCACGCTTATAACTTATGCGGCAAAGTACTTGTAGAGCATTTCTTACTTAT